TGTTAAAAATAAAAACTTTCTAATGAATAATAATGGTAGAGAAATCCCTCCTGAAAAACTATATAAAAAACCAGAAAGCCATAAAAAAGAGTAAAGATTTTAAAGAATTGTTGGGAAATCTATTAAAAAAGTCCTAAAATTTAGTCGAAATAGAAAAAGGGAAATTAAACCTTGGATTAATTGGGGTATCGGGGAAGTAGTGATAAAAAACTACTTGGGCGATGAAAATAGTCGCTAGTTGTAAATACAGAAACTAAAACCAAGGTAATCCTTACAATTCCTTAATTATTTAAAAACTTATTAATGAAAGACAACATTCATCACAAAAAATTAAGTCCGAACTCAAAAGGTAGGGAACAATTTGTCGCTGAAAACCAAGAAATTATCCACGGAATAAGAGAAATAAAAAGTGATGTTAAAGAAATCAAGAAATTTATGGTAATGAATAATCTCCGGCGTTTGGTAGACAACTACGATAACCTTAACCAAACCAAGCAGAAAAAACTAGCAAAAGATTGAGAATTAGCCGAAAAAGACGAACAAAGGAAAAAAGAAATTGCCGAATGGGATAGAATACAAGCGGAAGATGAGGAAAAGTTTAGTAATTAATGGTTAGTATTAAAATTAGACCTCATTCAGAAAAAAAAATAGAAGTTAGGCGAGGTGAAGTCTACTTAATTCGCTTTGACCCATTAATAAAAGGCAAGTTTAAAAAAATTGTTAAGAACACGGAAATCAAAGACCCTCATCCGGCGGTAGTAATTTCGAATGACCTTCAAAATCAAAAAAGCAGTCGGATTACCGTGGTTCCTTTAACTCATACTCTCAAACCTTTTTATGAAGGGTGAGAAGTTTATTCCAATTTCAATAATGAGAAAGGGAAAGTTATGTGCGACCAAATAAAAAATATTGACAAGCAAAGAATAATCAAGCACTTGGGAACATTTGACCTAAAAACTAGGCAAGAAGTGGAAAGGAAAGTATTAGAGGGTTTGGAATTAGTTAAATCGCTTAGTAGCGAACAACTGCTTTTGGAATTAGCTAGAAGAGTAAAAGTCAAAGAAATTGATTGAGAGAGAATTTTGACTAATATTGGAGAAGTATAGTAATAAATTACAGGTAGATAGATAGAGATATATTTATAGAGGTATATAAAATATTAGTATATGAAAGATAATAATCTTCCTAAAATAATCGCTCTTATCAGCCAAAAAGGAGGAGTAGGAAAATCTACCCTTGCCCGTGTTCTGGCTACCGAAGCCACCAAAAAGAAAATCAAAGTTTTATTAGCTGACTGCGACCACCAACAGAAAACTAGTTGAGAATGAACCCAGTGGCGAAAGGAAAATAAAATAAATCCTGCTATTATTAGCCAAGTGTTTCAGCAAGTAAAAGATATTTGACCTTACACTAAACAATATGACCTAATTATTATTGATAGTCCGGCGAGAACTAGCCAAGGAACCTTAGAAATTGCCAAAAGAGCAGATTTAATAATTCAGCCAGTCGGAGCCAGTCGCGATGACTTATTACCCGCTCTCCGTGAATTCAATGCCCTAAAAGCCCAAGGTATTAGTAAAGATAAATTATTGTTCGTGCTTAATCACTTATCTACTCCGGCTGAAATATTAGCCACCCAAGAATATTTAACTGAAAGCGGATATCCTTTTGCTCCTTTTTATTTATACGAAAAAGTCTCTTACCGCCAAGCCCAAAGTGAAGGAAAGAGTATTAGTGAGGTTAATTTTCCTAGTTTAAAAAAACAAGTTCAGAAATTAGTTAATTTTGTTTTAAAACAGGTAGAGGTATTAAAGTAGAGATATAAATATAGAGGTAGATATAAAATAAATATATGGCTAAAAGAAAAAGATTTGGAGAGATACCGCAAGAGGTTAGTGAAAATATAAAGGCTCCGGAAACTGCTCCCAGTGATAAAAGAATTAGTGGGAGAACTAAGCAACTTAATTTTAAAGTCAGGGAGGAATTTTATTGGCAATTGAAAAATAGAGCAGTAGAGGAAAAGTGTCTGATGGTGGAAATATTGGAAAAAGCCTTAGAAAGTTATGAACGAGAAAAAGAAGTCCAGTCAAAAAAGAGTTAGAAAAGTATGTTAAAGTAATTGAGTGTAAACCTAAAATTAAGTCTCAACCAAAACTAAATTCTTATTCTTATACCAACTTCACTTGTGATAAATGCCAAAGTGAATACCAACAAGAGACTGCTTTTTCGGCAGCAAAGAGCTTAAAGGAATTAGACCACTATCCTACCTACTGTGCTGGTTGTGTTTAATTCTCCTTTAACCACTTTTCCGTTTTCTCTTTCTCTTTCTGATAATCCTTTAATTGAGCCTCAATCTAACTAGTTGTTTAGTAAGATATTTATGCTGGTTAGTTAGTTTATAGATTTGAGTATTTAAAAAACGAACATATTCTTTTTTTCTATTAACTTCCTCGGGGGTAGGTTTTTTGTTCATTAATGATTTTTTTCCTTAAACTCTCCATAAGTTTCCTTTAGTTCTTTGAACAATACTCTGCATTTCATCACTTTTTGATTTCTTTTTTCTCTTTTTCGGTGGCTTTATCTCAGTTTTTAATTATGGACTTAGTGAGGAGGATTTTTGCTTGTCGTTGAACTTGATTGAGTTCTTGGTTTTTCATTATTTATTTGGTTTAAAAGGTAATGGTTGTTCGATTTGGGCTTTTTGCTCTTGTTCTAATTGCCGGTAATAGTTGATTTTCTGTCATTGATAAAGACTTTTAGCAAGAGTTTTTAATTGCTTTTCATAATAACTAACTTGCTTTTCCACTCTGGCTTTATCGTTTAAGGCTTTTTGATAAGCATTTAGGAGGTTAGTGTGGTTTTGTTCGTCAGTATGAAATTTGTGCGTTAAATTAGTGATGGTTGAGTGTAAGGATTGGTTGATTTTTCTTTCTGAATTAATTAATGCTTTTAAATTGTTGTTCTCAGTTTGGGTTTGTTTTAGTTGCTCCTCTAAATTTCTAATTTTGGTTAGTAGGATATTTTCTTTTGGTTCTAACCGCTTAGTAATTTCCGGCAATGGTTCGCTGATTTCTGTTTTTTGACTAATGCTTGGGGTTGAAATTCCGCTAATTATTGATTTTGGTTGATAATTAGTGATAGGTGTTTCGCTTATTTCAGTAAGTAATGGCGGATTATCTTGTTGAATGGGTTTCTTGGTGGGAATTTGTGGCTTATCTCTAATGATAGGTTCTGAATTCATGGGCGGTTGCTCAGGAGAAAAAAACCAAGAACAACCCGATAATTGAGCCTGAGAATACTTACTTAAAAATAAAATAGAATTTGCTCTCAAAT